TTTACATGCTTCTCTTCCAGGAATTCTCATTCTGTTGGCATAAATTGTTACTGGGAATTAGGACTTGTTCCCTGGCAGGGTGGGCAGGCCCTGGCACAGGTGCCCAGAGCAGCTGGGGCTGCCCCTGGATCCCTGGCAGTGCCCAGGGCCAGGCTGGACACTGGGGCTGGAGCTCCTGGGACAGTGGGAGATGTCCCTGCCATGGCAGGGTGGCACTGGGTGGGATTTGGGGTCCCTTCCCCCAAAGCACTCCGGGATTCTGGGATGTGCAGCCCAGTCCCTGAGGCTGGCATGGGGCACTGGGGTTCTTTGGGCCCCCAACACTGCCAGGCTGCACAGCAACCCCTGAAGGGACATTTTCTGACACTGAAGCCCCGTCCCAGCCTTCAGGGGCACCTGTGTAGAATTGCCAAGCACAGGATTTCTAGAGAAATGCTGGGACTGGTTCCCTGCCACCCCCCAGCCATCCCAAAGGCTCTCTGTGCCTGCCCCCCTCACTCTGCTGTGACAGCTGTCATCAGCACAGCTCCTGCCATTTGTCTGTAGATCAGATTTGTTTATAGACCTTGGCACCTGTACAGCCTCCTGACATCTGCATTCCCTCAGGGCTGCTGTCCTACCCAGCCCTGGCTGCTTCCTGAGGGCTTCTGGGCAAATCCCAAACCTCAGCAGGGAACTGCTTGTGTTCCATGGGAGATGTGCACCCCGAGGGGCACAGGAGGGCAGAGGTCCCTGAATACCTTACAGGATTTAAATCTTCACCTCTGGGTGGGGCAGGACCTTAAGGCTCAGCTGCTCTGACCCTGGGCCAGGCTGGCAGGACCCTGCCCCGTGCTGCTCCCATTTCCCTGGGCAGCCCTGGCAGGGCAGGGGGACCTGAGTCTTCATCTCTCAGCTGCTCTGGGGGCAGGAGCAGAGACAGGACCCCATTCCTGCATGCAGAAAAGCACCTGAGCCTTCATCTCTCAGCTGCTCCGGGGGCAGGAGCAGAGACAGGACCCCGTCCTGCATGCAGAAAAGGACCTCAGCCTTCATCTCTCAGCTGCTCTGGAGCAGGAGCAGAGACAGGACCCCATTCCTGCATGCAGAAAAGCACCTGAGCCTTCATCTCTCAGCTGCTCTGGGGGCAGGAGTGGGGCTGGCTGCAGGAAGGAGCAGACAGGACCCCGTTCCTGCATGCAGAAAAGCCACTTCTTTATTCACACAGCTCATATTTATAGGAAATAGCAGAAGGCACAGTGCTAAACCTGAGTGGTAACAATCCACCAAAACTCAGCCTGTGGGTCAGTAAATGGCCTTTGTGCTGCCCACCACATCCTTCACTCTTGGACAGTTTACAGATTTTGTTCGCTGATTCCCATGGGACAGTTTTCTTGTTTTATACAGGGTAAATGGCTCTCTTAGCAGAAGGGTTTGTTGTGCTGACTGCTTTGACCTTTGGTGGTTTTTCACATGGGAGCAGCAGGGCCTAAACCACATTTTGTAATACCTCTGCCTGCATGCAGAGATAAACCAGGTGGGTTTGGGGCTCCCAGGGAGGGTCCAGAGCTCCTGCAGGAGGGGCAGTGCCCTCTCCCACCCCTGGCACACCGAAATGCCACATTTGCATTCAGGTCCCTTCACCTCCCACGGTTTTGCAAACACGTAGTGCAGGGCAAGTTGCTTTTAATTTTAATTTTTATTAAAAAGTGTTTCTCATTCTTAGATTTGCACAACATTAATGTAAAGGATGGGATAGAATCTTCAGATGACCTGGAAAAGCCTTCTGAGAGATTTATAAACCGTCTACTTCATCTGTAAGAACATTTGTTTTAATTCCCATATAAAAGTGAGATAAATTGGCTTGTAATAGCACGAGTCCAAAAATATCTCAAGTTACCACTT